TTCCTTGAAAAGTCAACCACCTTTGAGTGGTGCCTGGTCTCCCTGGAGGTCCCTGGCCGCTGGTATGCAAATAGTGAGCTGGGCTGGTATTTCTAAAAGTGAAAACAAAGAGGGGGGGGTTGGCTCAAGGGCTTTCTGGAATGCAGGGTCATCTCCCAGTGGAACTCCAGCTTCAGGTCTGCACTCAGCTCTTTGTATCCCTGCACTCCTTCCTCTCCCTGGCATTGGCCCTGGGCTGAAGGAGGGGGAGGACTTGAGACAGAATCACCAGACCTGGACGGGGACAAATATGAATTCCAGACTCCCACATTCACTCTGGTTGTGGTGCTAGCTGCTGGCCCGAGACCCCAACCCTCCTCAGCTAGGTTGATTTTTGCAGTCAGCAGAGGGGTTATCCCATCCTGGGAAGCCTGGACAGGTAAGGTGATTATAAAAATATTTTTAACTGCCAGCCAGGTGAGGCCAGGGCACCCACTGGTCACCACGCCAGGCCATTAGCATTTGTCTTTGGAATGTGAATTGGCCATTGTCATAGTGAAGTCTGACCCAGGTCTCCCCCTTCCCCCAGCTCCCACCTCCACGGCCAGCTCAGAACACTGTTCTCTTGGATTCCGAGCCTTTTTGGATAATTGTGTCAGGTTACATAAGGTTTTGAGATAGGAACACTCAAAGGAAATTCTGCTGGGAACAGGCCTGAGAGGCTTCCAGCATAGAATTTGCTTTCAAGTATTCGAGGAAAAAATTCAGGTGTCTCAGCCTTGCACATTTTGGAATAAAGTAAGGACAGCTCCACAACTTTGCTTGCACATCCCAGAAAGAAGTGAGGGAAAAGATAGGCTTCCTGTTGAGAGGAAATGCCCTCTGCATGGAGCACGTGCAGGGCTGTGGAGGTCAGGGGGAGGCACCAGTGCACAAAAGCAGGCTGGTGGCATCGGAATGGAAACCCTGGGCAGCTCACCTTCACTTGTCTTTTTTTTTTTTTTTTTTCCTTTTCTGCATCTTAGGTAACACATTTGGTAAATAGAGGCTTTCAGTTTTCCAAGAAACATAAAATAAAAATGGGATTACTGGCAGAAAAGCTTTAAAACCTTTGGTTTCTAGGACTCTGTGGGCACATTTTCCACGCACCATGATTTTTATTTCGTTTGTCTCTGAGGAACAGCCCTCTAGCAGCTCTGTTGCATAAGGTGCTATTTCCAAACACCCTGTCCCCAACTAGAGACAGAGAGTAAGTTTTATCTAGGCTGAGAAGGGTTCTGGATGGGTGACATCGTGTTCCAAGCTGCACTGGTTAAAGTCAACAGTAGGGAAGCTGCCAGAACCCTCTCACCAAGGAAGCCCAGAGAATATTTTAAATACCAAAAGGCACCTCTTTCTGAAAGCGCAGAATGGTCACAAAACCACTGAACAAGGGAAAGTTAATGGCAGGAAAATGTCTCGAATATAGTAAATAGAAAAACCCTTACAGGGGACACAGAATAAAATAGATTTACTGTGTGGAAGGGATGCTAATGCAGGAAAGTCCATTTTTACACAAAAATAATTCAACAAGTGATTATTCACTCTACAAAAGGCTTCGGAAGAACTCTATCCTTTCCTTCCTTCCTCCTTTCATTCAACACACATGCATTTAGTGCTTGCTGGGTGCCAGATCCTGTTAGGGAAGCAACACTGTGATCTCCCAGTCTGGCCCTCCTGGATCCTTACACCGTCAGGGAGCCTGAGGGCGGAACCGGGAAGCAGACTTCCAGGGTGCTATGGGAGTGAGTGAGGGTCTCTATCGTCCTGGGCTCAGAGAAAGCTTTCCTGGAGGAAGTGATGTCCAGGCAGCGGGAGCACCCAATGCGGTTTCTGCTGGCTCAGGTCCAGGACACGGAGCTGGCTCTGCCCACCCAGGGGTCTCCTTTGGTAGTTCCAAGGAGTCATGGAAGCCTGCCTGGGATGGAGAGAGGCACCACCTTCCAGGAAAGTTAGAGCAGCTGGCAAGGCTGCGAGGTCAGCCGCAGCCAGGGGGCAAAGTTCTGGAGACTGGCGGTCTGTGGCAAGGAGGAGTTTGGATTTTAATTTCATAGTGTATGGCAGTACTTCTCCCAGGGGACCAGGGAGAGTTGTTGAGGGTTGTAAGCAGGAAAAAAAAAAAAATAAAATAATCAGCTTGGTTTGTTTGGGTATTTTTTACAGATAGCCACAGGCTGTGAAGAGAATGGACTGTTGGGAGGGGGGTACGAGGATACAGGAGAAGGAGAGAGAGGTCAGGAGGTCAGAGGACAAGCCAAGTGGCCGGGCTGGCTCATCCAGAGCTGGAGAAAGCACCATGGTCCCGCTGAGTGGATCCAGAGAGCAAGAGTTGGGGCGGACTACCTCCTATCCAGGTTAATTTGAGAACTAAATGTAATTCCATTAGTTAATAAGCATTATTTCCTGATAGTAAGACCAGGAAAGTCTAGAGTAGCTGTCCCAATAACTGCTCCCTTTTGGATAATCTCTGTGCACTTAAAGAAAGATCTAAGAGGCCGGCGCCGTGGCTCAATAGGCTAATCCTCCACCTTGCGGCGCCGGCACACCGGGTTCTAGTCCCGGTTGGGGCGCCGGATTCTGTCCCGGTTGCCCCTCTTCCAGGCCAGCTCTCTGCTATGGCCAGGGAGTGCAGTGGAGGATGGCCCAAGTGCTTGGGCCCTGCACCCCATGGGAGACCAGGAAAAGCACCTGGATCCTGGCTCCTGCCATCGGATCAGCGCGGTGCGCCGGCTGCAGCGGCGGCCATTGGAGGGTGAACCAACGGCAAAGGAAGACCTTTCTCTCTCTGTCTCTCTCTCTCACTGTCCACTCTGCCTGTCAAAAATAAAAAAAAAAAAATTTAAATTAAATTAAGAAAGATCTAAGTATTTGAAAGGCAAAGAGAGAGAGAGAAGAGGAGAGGAGAGGAGAGGAGAGGAGAGGAAAGAGACAGATCTTCTACCTGAAGGTTCACTCTGCAAATGGTCACAACAGCATGAACTCAGCCAGGCTGAAGCTAGGAGCCAGGAATTCCCTCAGGGTTTCCCACACCAGTGGCAGAAGCCCAAGCTTCTGGCATCATCTGCTGCTTTCCCAAGCGCATCAGCAAGAAACTGGATCGGAAGTGGAGCAGCTGGGACTTGAAACAACACTCACATATGGAATGCTGGTGTCACAAGTGGAATTTAACCAGCTGTGCCACAACACCGGCACCCTCTCTCCGTGGTTAGTTGCACCGGCATGTTTTCAGGCCTCATCATAGCCCTAGGCAGTAACTACTGGTACCCCCATTTCACTTATGAACAAATTGAGATTCCAGGAAGTTTAAGAAATTCGTCCAAGGTCACTAGTGGTGACTGGTCCTGAGACAGATGACAAGCCCCAGGAAGACCAGGTGCACACTGGCTCTGATTAAGGATGGATGCATGGCTGGCACAGGCCAAGGGCAGGACGAGCCGGCTTTGCCAGCAGGCTGGCCTGAAAGCCTCCTCTGGCAGGTCCAAGGACACACAGAAGCCAGCTTGGAATGCTCTCAAACGTGAGTGTGCAAACCCTTTTCTCTGCGGCCCGGGCTCCTCTACGCAGAGTAGACCTTTCTTTTGGGCCAGGGGCAATACCTCTGGGCAGGGACAAGTCCTGCCTCCAGGGCTGTCTCTGTTCCAGAAAACCTGGGCGTTGTGCGCGGGCAGAGAAGCTGGAAGAACAGTCCAAGTAGAGGGAACCCGGTAGGGAAAGGCCTGAGAATGACGGCAAATGCTGCTCGTTCCAGGACAGGCCCCTGAAGGGCAGATGGATCCCAGATCTAGAAGGCCGGCGGTGGAACTCGAGATCTGGGTCATCTTTGACCCCAAATTCTTCAATTCCAGATAAGAACTGAGGAGTCACTTTGGTATTTCTAAAGCCAGAGTAGCCTTGATACTTATTCCACACGGAGTCTATCTTGTTCCAAAAACAAGACTCTAAATTATCGAGAGGTTAACTGCATAAGGACTCAGGCTGACATGTTGACGGGGAAGGAGCAGCTCCGTGCGGCTTTTATTGTCCGCCTCTGCCTTGAACACTGGAGAGACAGGGATATTTCCCGTCTGTCTCTCCCCTTTCTCAGCACCCAGCCAGCCAGCTGCTCCCCACTTTCAGGCCTTGGAGATACTGATAGGAGAACTGGCAGAAGACAAAAAGGCTCTTCCTGTTTGTCCAGAAATCCCGAACTGTGGGAGAATCCATTCTGAGTGCCCTCAAGGAGAAAGGGAGGGAGAAGCCAGGTGGGTGGGCAAGGGGGTCCCTCAGGCAGGGAAAGGGAAGAGGGAGGGGTGGGGGCTCAGCAGGCAGCATCTCACAGCCCGGAGCCCCGGAGAGGACCCGAGGCCAGAGGGCTCTTGGCTGGAGGGGACCATGAGTCCTTTGGTGCAACCTTCGGAGAAGGGTCCCACTGGAGACCAGGATTGAGTTTCCCCTGAGGGTGGAAGGTGGGGGGCTCCCAGTAGGATTTTGCTTGGTTTAAAGGCAATGCAGAAATGACGCATTTTGTGCTACATGGTTTCATGCTCTCACATGTCGTCACACTTCATACTGTGGGGTTACCCACATTTTTAGTTGTGTGATATGTCTAGATCTGTCTCCCCCTTAACCTATAATCTCCTTGAAGAGTAGGGGTCTCACCGGTGTTTCTTCACAGAACGTCCAGGGTCCAGCACAGACTCTTAGTAAAACGTGCCATTTAACTGGGGCAGGTGGTTTTGGGGGGGGGTCGTCTAAGAGTGGTGATCTCAGGAGAACTTGACGGGAGAGCGCATTTGGGACAAGTTAGGACTTCAAGAAGACAAGCTTTGGGTGGGGGATGGGAGAAAATCGGTTTTCTAAGAGTAAAATAAGAAAAAAGTGGGGATTGGGTAGGCTGGAGCGTCGGGGGTGGGGGTCTTCAGCAAGCCCCGCCCTGAGCCGGGGTACCAGCGCGAAGTGACGCAGCGCGGTTTGGCCACTGTGGGGCGCCGTAGCCCGCGCCGTTGCCAGGGGAACGGGCCCGCGCCTGATGAGGCCCATCCCGCCTTGGCCTGGACCGGCCTTAGAACCAGCCCGGACGAGCTGGAGCCCCAAGATTCGCAGGCCCAACTTCTGACCGGAATGGGGCCCCGCTCCGGGGCGCTCTGCTTGCTGGTCCCGGGGACAGTCTCCGCCGCTACAGTCTGACGCGCTGCCGCTCTGGGGAGAGTGGACGGCTAGGCGCGGGGGCCGAACTCTGGCTGACCTTGGCAAGGCCGGTCTGGCACGGCCGGCCGTGACGCGCAGGTGAGGAGCCCCCGCCACATTTGTCTTCTCGGAACCTGGCCTGAGCCACGGGGTCTCGCGGCTGCTGCCGCCTAGCCGAGCTTTGGGCTTGCTTTGGGCCTGGAGCCCTCAGCCTGGGCTCCGGGGGACTGCGCAGAACGCAAGGTTTCCTTCTAGCGGCCACCAGATCCGCGCTGAGCGCCTGCGGTGTGCCAGGCTCTGGGACAGGTGCGGGGCGGCCGAGGACTCTGCACAGAGGCGGCGCGACGGCGGGGGCCGGGGAGCAGGCGCCGGACGCTGGACTGAAGTGACGTCAGGCGGGGGGCTGAGTGCCCTGGGGAGGAGACGGAGAGGGGCCGTCGGGGACGGTCTGCCCTGAAAGGTGTTGCAGGCTGGGCGGGAGCCAGCAGTGTGAGCCGGGGAAGGGCGTGTTTGGAAAAGGGACAAGCAAGTGTAGCGAGGTCTGGAGGCAGCGGAGCAGTCCCGTGCGAGGGGCGCCCTGCAGGCCAGGGTGAGGGTTCAGCTTTAGCCCAGCAGCGGGAGGAAGTCGCAGAGGAATTCTGAAGAGTGTTCAGAGTGGAGACGCCTCCCTGGCTGCCGTGGGCAGCGTGGTTGTGACAGGCTCCCGGGGAGACATCGGCGGGCTGTCCTAGTCCTGCCAGCCTGGCTGTGCCTCCTACACTGCCTCTCTGAGCTCTCTCTCTCAGGGTCTCCATCTGTGGCAAGGGGACCTTGTTCTGTGTGTTGTTTACGGGGGGCCGTCCCCTCCGAGGCCAATGACTGAGGTCTCAGAGTTTGAAATGATCGGAGTCATCCCAGAGTGCATTCCCGGGAAGCACTGGGAGCGAGCAGCCTGCCGTCCTCTTGGGAACGCGGAGGCCCGGGTCAGGGTGACAGCAGCAGTGGGAAAAGGAGCTGAATTCAGGCAGGGGTGAGGGGTGGTCCCTGCTTTTGTGGAGCTGATGGTTCTCTGTGGGAGCCGGGTTGGGTTTGTAAACAGACAATCGAGGCAATAACAGAGGCAGCTTAATTAACCTGTTTGTTTTCTGGTCTTTCATTTTGTTTTTGTTTCTCTTACTTTGTTCTGTCACAACTTTGTTCTTGACGACCGTTTCTCGGTGGGTGTTCCCCAGGGCTGGCTCCTGCAGTCCTAGGAGTTGATTTCCTGGCTAACGTCAGCAGCGCTTGCCGCCCTCCGTGCCCTCCATCGGCTTTGTTTCTGCTCCTTCCTGTCCCTCTCCCTTGGCTTCCCAGACTGCTTGCAGTTGGAGAATGGCACAGAAAGTGTTTGCAGACCTGGTCAGCTCAGGAATGATGGGCGTTGCAAGCCTGCTGTCTTGCCATGGCGACAGACTTCTGCGAATTGTTGATGAGTGAGGAAGTGAGGGCCTAGCCACAACTGAGCCTGGTGCCCGGAGGGGCCTTTGAGACAGGCTTGAAGTTCCGATTTATTTTCTGGGGCTCTTGTGATATGCGTCTCTTAGCTGAACTAGAGCCACTTCATGGAAGTTTGAGACCAGAAGCTTCTCTGGCCCCTCTAGAGGAATTTTTATAACCAAACACTGTCCCTAAAAGTCTTTTATAAATGACTTTTTTGCACTGTAAAACAGTGTGTACCATGAGGTATTTTCTTTCCAGCACCACTGTAAGTGGTTAAAATAGGGCATTTGTTAATTCTCCGTGAAAATTATTTCAAAAGCAGACCCTGGAAAAAAACCCGGGAGCTCCTTTAGAAATATCTGTAGAAAGTCTCTCACACAGAGACCGTAATTTCTCAGGCAAAAGAAAAGCTGCGTGGGAGCAGAATTTCCGCTGGCACCCACCTCCCCTGCAGGGGCTGGGAGTCACGGGGAGCTGAGCCGGCTCTTGGCCTAGAACAAGGCGCTGCCCGGCATCCGCTGTGGGAGGTCCGCTTGTCCGATTCCCGCGTTGATGAGAACGCTGACGTCTCATAGGAAGTTCTGTGATTCTCCCTCACGGCGCCACAGCTGAGCGACTCAGAATTGTTTTCAAGATTGAGAGAGCGTGTAGCTGACACGGTGCCTGCTTGTTCCAGGGTTGTTGGGCAGGGGCCCCTTGTCGGACTGGCCGGGTACAGGGCCCTGCCTCGCGCGAGGGCGTTTGGTCCACACACAGCCCAGTGGGGCCAGGAGGCTGAGAGGTGACATCGCTCAGTTGCTGTTTGACATGCCTTTTTTTTCCTTCCCTTTTCTTTTCTTTTCCAAAATCAGTACATACTCATGATTAAAAAAAAAATTGAGCAATTCCAAAGCCTCACCCTCAGCCATGCGCTCTCCCAGGCTGCCCTTGTGTTCTGCTCCTTGAGAGAGCCAGTGCGGGCAGGAGCAGCCATGTCTCCGTCGCCCGTGTTTGTATTCGTCGGTAGCTCACTCTACAGCTGTTCTACGTCAACTCTGTACTAAGCATCATTTCTTGCTTTTGATGTTGTATGGTATTCCATTGTGTGGCTGTGCCGTGGTTTGTTTATGTTATATCCTGAATCGTTACAAACAACATTGCAGTGAGTCCTTGTGTATTTTGTGAGTCTACATATGAGATAAATACATATCAGGTAAATACACATGAGAGACTGTCTGGGCCAAAGGGTGTGTGCGTCTAGTGTGAGACACATTGCCCATTTGCCTTCCAGCCAGCTTTTTTGAAAGATGAATGAAGAAGGGACCCAAAGGTGTGAATTTGCGAGATTTGTCCCCGATTCCAGCAGTGTAGGAGCCAGAAACAGGCTGCCTTCCCTGGCTCCAGCCTGCCTCTCCTCATGGGTCAGTTCCCAGGCCTGACCCCTTGCCTCTGATGGTAGCACCCTGCCCTTCCAGTTCTCTGGCTCCCCAACAACTCTGTTGTAGTTGAGCGGATTCTGAAGTCTTCAGATACCTTGCAAGGATCCAGGGCTGCCCACGGGTTCTCCAGGACTGGGACTTGGTGCCTCATTGTGGTTCCTCTGACAACTCTGTGAATCTCAGGACAACATTCCTAAAATAATAATAATAATTATTATTATTATTTTGGTGGGAGCAGAGGTGGGCAGGAGGGAAGTGGCCATTCATGTACTCAGTTTACAGTTCATAAAGAGAATTTGAAATGCTTTTTTATAAATATTTATTTATTTATTTGAAAGGCAGAGTTACAGAGAGGCAGAGCCAGAGAGAGAGAGGTCTTCCATTTGCTGCTTCACTCCCCAGTTGGCCACAATGGCTAGAGCTGTGCCGATCCAAAGCCAGGAACCAGGAGCCTCCTCCAGGTCCCCAACGTGGGTGCAGGGGCCCAAGGACTTAGGCCATCTTCTACTGCTTTCCAAGGCCACAGCAGAGAGCTGGATATGAAATGGAGCAGCCAGGACTTGAACTGTCGCCCACATGGGATGCCGGCACTACAGGCGGCGGCCTCACCCGCCATGCCACAGCGCCGGCCTCAGAACTTGAAATGGTAAAAGTTCTTGTGTTTATCTTAAACATAAAAATTAAAGTAGCCTAGCCTTACTTTGAAAATGCCATGTAAGGCTGTTAGAAGTGAATGTCAATGTGAACAGATTATTGTCAGCCTGGCAGTGGCTGTCACCTGGTGGGGATAAGGGTGAGGCCCACACTGCCCCTCCAGCCTGCCTCAGAAGTCCAGAGGGCCCTTGGCTAATCACGGTGAGCTGGCTACCTGTGGCCAAAGCACTAGGGCTGCCCTGTCTCTCCTGTCTGCCCTCCCTTCCTGCTGGCCGAACTCTAGGGCTTGTTCTGTGCAAACCTGAAGACTGTTTCACCAAGCCCACGGGCCTCTCAGCCCACCCGAGTTCAGCTCAGCTCAGGGCAGTGGCTGGGCAGTGGGAACCTGTGCAGTTGGCTTTTACCTTCTGACCAGCTCCTCCCACAGCGTAGGGCTGCTGGGCCGCTGCCCTCCCTGGACCAGCTTTCTGGGGGGTCACCTCCTCCAGGTGCTTCCCCACCTCCCCTGTGGCTGGAAACCCACTCTCCTGCCATCTACTCCCTTACTCCCAGTGGTTCTTTCAGCAGCACCCAAGCTTCCTCGCTGGCCTCCTGGGCCCCACGTGATCTCAGCCCGCACTTCCTGGGGGTTCACCTCTCACTGGGTGCTGCCCTCTGCCCCTCACTTTTCACCCTGCATGCTGTCACGTGGCACGGCCTGCCCTCGCAAGGGCTGCCGGAATGCCCATCCCCAGCTGCTTTGATAGCTGTGCCTGTCTGGGCCCCCGGAAGGGAGGCCCCTGACCCTCCTCTGCATTTATATCCTCAGTGCATGTAGGAAGCTGGGCCCCAGTAGGTGTGGCCCAGCTGAGGTCTGAGCATACCAGCTGGCCGTGTTGTCAGGGAGAGAGCCACAGTTGTCCATCCGGTCTCTTAGGGAAGTGCTGAGAGGTGAGGGACAGCCAGGGAAGTCCCTAGTCTGTTGACAATGCTTGGTCCCGTCCATGAGCCTTGGATCTCATCTTGGATTCTCTCCAACCTCCCAACCCTTTTAATCAAAATGTTTTGGGCCAAAAGAATTTGTGGCCATCAACTCCACAGGAAAAAAATCTGTGGTCATCAGCCAGGAGTTGGCTGGCCCAGGCTCTCGAGGCGGGCAGTGTGCCTTCTGGCCAGCTTGGTGTCTGTTTCAGGGTAGGTACTGCTGCTGTTCCAACAGCACCCGACAGCAGCATCCCTCCACCCGCAGTTTCAAACAAATGATGCCTCGCTGGCCTGAGGACACACTGATTTGAGGTCAGAGCACCCCTAAGGCTGTCTGTGGTGGGCTCCTGGTCACAGATGCTGACTCCTCCTGCCTCTGGTTGGGTACAGCAGCACTGAGGGGACCTGCAGCCACTGCCATCTGCCAAGGACATATCAGTCCTTGCAAACTCCCCCAAGGTATGGGGCTCTTCAGGTGTGGGGGTGATGACAGGAAAGCCAGAACTTAGGGATCCGGAGTCCTGCAATGTGCCGGCCACAGGAATCTGCCCCAGAGCAGAACACGCAGCTCAGCCGTACGCATGGGGCTTGGCCTGATGACGTGTGACTGCTTCCATAAATCACGGATAAAGGTTTGCACCCCTGGGAACATTGACAAGAAAGTGATGACAGGTTGTTGGTCACCTTTGATTGGATGTGACAAGATGAAAGTGACAACCTGTTCCTCACTGGCTTAATAAAGCAACTTCAACCAATGCTTTGGCTATAAACCTCGTAGGCTGTTAGGGCCTCTGTCTAGAGCCTTGAGGACAAACCAGAGAGCTATGGAAGGGTCATCATACGTGTACCATTTAGCAAGCACTTGGTGCCGAGGATTTTCCTCCGGTGTGTGCCCCGTTTGTCCAGATGAGAAAGCTCAGGCCCCTCAGCAGGTCAGTGCAGAGGCAAGAGCGGACCCCAGATCTCGTCTCCCAAGCCCAGGCTCTCTTTCCCTCCTGCAACTTCTTATTGGCCGGCAGCTCTGAGCCTGGGCTGGGTGGAAGGGCACAGCGGCTGAGAGTGAATGTCTGCGATCAGATACTTGCCAGGCTGGTGTGGGGGATGCCTTGTGGGTGCACCCACACCATGGGGTGGGTGCTGGACGGGAGGGTTGAAGGCAGGGCAGAGGGGGCCAGAGGGCCTTGGGAGGAGCAGGATTCCACCCGTTCACTGTGCTCACGTTTTCTTTGATTTCAGATGTGTTCAAGTCAGCAAACATTTACTGAACGACTCCTGTGTACAAGGTACAGTTCTGGGTACTTGGGAGAGGGTTTGCTGGGGCACAGGTGAATGAACCACAGCATATTTACACTTGATCTTAGCCAAAAGGCCGAGAAGTGGTCCCGCCACAGCATATTTGATGCCTTTGAGGGGATCTGGCAAAACAGAGGGGCAGCTATGAGGATGGCGGAGAATTGCAATGGCAAAGTGACTTTCCCCGTAATGACTGAGCACAGGGGCCCCCTCACTCGGCGTGGGGCATCAGGAAAAGCGTCTCTGGAGATCAAGTCTCATTTTCTTGGGCTGAGAAGTACAGAAGCCATTCCAGGATGATGTACAGGATGGAGTCTGCCACGCCCCTGTTGCTTAGTCAGATTTCTGGTCCACAGGTAGGGGCTCCAGACAGAAGCACTCCCTGAGGGCTGGGAGCTGGCCTGTCCGCCTAGGTGTGTGCTACTGCCCGCCCGGGCTGTGGTCCCCTCTTAGGCTCAGCAGATACTGGGGCTGGGGCTCTGCCTCTTGTAACCACATGCCTGCCCCTTCCTGCCCTGACTGTATCTTTGACACCAGGATGCTGTTCGGCTGCAGGGAGGCAGGGTGGGGGTGGGGGCTCAGTGCCATCTGGTGGTCGGGCTCCAGTTGAGGCCTGGCCTTTCCCTGAGCTCCCTCAAGCGAGCCAAAGGATATCAGCCCACCTCTCTGTGTACATGTGGACACCAGGCCCAGGCCCGGATTTACTCCAAGAAAGTGGCCTTGCTGCTGGAGGGAACCAAGGAGGAGCCCTCCCCCTCTCTCTTGTGTGCTGGCTCTTGCCTCTCCGGGCAGCTGTTGTGATGTGCAGGGGAGCAATTCTGAGTCCCCCCATCCTAAAGGGATTACAGGGCTGTGTGGGGGCAGAGGCCACAACCCCCTCCCAAGCACCCCACTCCCTGTTTCCCTTAGTGAAGGATAAGGGGGCCCTCTCCAGCACTGGCGTTTGGACCTCTGCGCGGAGGTGACTAATCCTAACAGAATCAGCCTGTGTTCTCATCGCTCTGGCCCCCGCCTGATATTGTTACCAGATGAGAACATGTCTTATTGGGTTTAACTTTGATGGCTGTGGAGACAGCACTTTGAGTAATGGGCAGCCACATTGTGTCCTGAATAAACCCTGGGCCCTCCTACCTTGTCCTGGCCAGGCTGGGGCCAAAGCTTACGCTGGGGCTTTGGGACAGTCCTCCACTACCGCCCTGCCCCCTCTGTCCCTCTGTGTCATGCAGGGACCCCGGGGTCCCCTGCAGAGTAGCTGGGAGGTGGCCTCACATCCCAGCCTGCTCCCCTGCTGCCGAATCCTGGCTGCAGGCAGGGGGCCCTGGGCTGTAGCCCAGGCCGCCACAGGCTAATGCTCTCTCTACTCCTTCCCCTCTGGAGATGACCATTTGCAACAGGCCCTCCAACAAAACAGCCCCTGAGAAGAGTGTGTGGACGGCACCCGCGCAGGCCAGCTCCGAGCTGCAGGGCCAGCGGTCCCGCAGGAATGGGTGGAGCTGGCCCCCTCACCCGCTCCAGATTGTGGCCTGGCTGCTGTACCTCTTCTTTGCTGTGATCGGCTTTGGGGTCCTGGTTCCCCTCCTGCCTCACCACTGGATGCCTGCTGGCTACGCTGTATCCTTGGGAAAGGTGGGACTGGTGCAGGGAAGTGTGGGGGTAGAGGATGGACAGATGGCCATGTCAGAGGCCTGAGGTTAGGCCAAGGCCTCGGGAGCGCCAGGTGAGGCAGAAGAAGTCCTGGGACAGCTGCCTCCCTGCCTGGCCTCCAGCCCCACTCTGGCCCCTGCTTCTGACAGGGTGAGTGGACAGACAGAAAGCACCTTAGAGCAAGCCCTTCAAACCCACACAGATGGGAGGTCCTCGAGAGCCATTGTTAAGCTAATTGTGTCCAGAGCTAAACAAAGAGCAAGTTAGGGAGTAATTATTCCACTTACAAAAGAATTTTTCACTTTTCAAAAAGAGTCACGGTAGAATTCTTTTACATAGTAAGTTTCCTGGCACATTTCAAGTGCGGTTTTATTTACGGACAGATTATTATTCTGTGCCCAGAACTGTTTATGAGCTCATTGATTTTGTAAATCAGGCCCTTTTAGGGGAGGTTGGATGTGACAAGAGGCTGGATAGAGAGGCCCCGAAGGCTTCTGGGAACAGCAACAAATGCAGTTGCCCAAGCCTCGTGGTGTGACTGCCCTCGCCCTGACCACAGCCCCCCAGGAGCAGAAGACATGGCTGCAAGGCCAGGAGCTTGGGGTACATCAGGCTTCTGTGTGCCCTGTGCAGAGAGCGTCCTGGTGTGGATGGCTGGTGAAGATGATCCCTGGGGGAGGAGGGCTAGGGTGAGTGCTGGCTGGTAGACGGGGATGAAACCGAAAGCTCGGGTTGTGGAGTCAGCAGCCAAGCTTGGTTCCAGCCCAACTTCTAGGGGCCTCTAGGGCTGTGCAGTCTCTGGGCCTTAGCCTCCCCCTGTGTTGGCAGGAAGGGCCCAAGCTGCACGCTAGGATGCGTGTGAGCACGAGAACGTGTGCGCCGTAGACATGAGCGTGCTCTCCTGGGAAACTGCCAAGCCCCAGGCAGATGAGTGACAAGGGCAGGGATGTGGAGAGGATCTTAGAAAACGTTGCCAACCTCAGACACCAGCAGTGTCGTTGCAGGCTTCCTGGTTCACTGGAACCAAGGCCTGGTCGTGATCCCTGTGCATAGAAAACTAGACCTTGCCTGAGGTAGCCAGCAGGCATGGAACAGATGCGTCCCTTGCTCAGGCTTACCGGGTTTGTGCCATCAGCGCCCCTGGGAAGCCAGATGACCCATGTGGTGTGGAGCAAGTGGAAGCAGAGCAAATAACAGTAAACAGAAGTAGCATTTATTGGGCTCTTGGTTGAGCCAGGCACTATGTCAGCCACTTTATGTGGATTACCTCATTTCTATTTTTTTTTTTTTTGAAAAAAAAAAAAATTGAAAGGCAGAGTTACAGCAGAGGCAGAGAGAGAGAGAGAGAGAGAGAGAGAGAGAGAGAGAGAGAGAGAGGTCCTCCATCCGCTGGTTCATTCCCCAGATGGCTGTAATGGCCAGAGCTGTGCCGATCTGAAGCCAGGAGCCAGGAGCTTCCTCAGGGTCTCCCACACGGGTGCAGGGATCCAAGGACTTGGGCCATCCTCCACTGCTTTCCCAGGCCACAGCAGAGAGCTAGATTGGAAGTGGAGCAGCCATGACTTGCACTGGCACCCATATGGGATGCCGGCACTGCAGGCAGTGGCTTTACCTGCTACGCCACAGCACTGGCCCCTGATGACCTCATTTCATCCTCATCATGTTAAATAAGAAAAGCGGGGCTGGTGTTGTGGGCCATGGGGTTAAGCTGCCTGTGGTGCTGGCATCCATGTTGTGAGCACCATTTCAAGTGCAGTCTGCTCAGCTTCCTATCCAGCTCCCTGCCTATACGCCTGGGAGGCAGTGGAGGATGGCTGGGGTGCTTGGGCTCATGCCATCCATGTGCAGTCTCTGGGCATGGAGTTCTGGGCTCCTGGCTTTGGCCTGGCATAGCCCCAGCCATTGCAGCCATTTGGGGATTGAGCTAAGGATGGAAGATCTTTGTCCTTCTCTCTCTGTGCCTCTCTCTCTCTCTCTAACTCTGCCTTTCAAATAAAAAAATAAATAATTTTTTAAAAAAAGGTATTTTCCCCATTTTACCAATGGGGAAACGGGCTCATAGAGGATGATTTCCGGAGGCCACAGAGCTGGTACCCAGTGCGACCGGAAGGGCTGCTCAGGCTGCCTGACTGTGAATAAAGGAGGTGGTTCGAGGGATTTGTCTTCCCCACATGCAGTGCTCACCTGCCTTGGGCAATGTGGAAGCTCACAGAGGCACCTGGTCTGTACCCTGACCGAGCCTATCTGGTCTGCTACCTTCCTCAAAGCCATGTTTTTTTTTTTTGTTGTTGTTGTTGTTGTTGTTTTTTTTTTTTTTTTTTTTTTTTTTTGACAGGCAGAGTTAGTGAGAGAGACAGAGAGAAAGGTCTTCCTTCCGTTGGTTTAACCCCCAAATGGCCGCTACGGCCGGAGCTATGCCAATCCAAAGCCAGGAGCCAGGTGCTTCCTCCTAGTCTCCCATGTAGGTACAGGGGCCCTAGCACTTGGGCCAACCTCCACTGCCCTCCAGGGCCACAGCAGAGAGCTGGACTGGAAGAGGAGCAACCGGGACTGGAACCCGGCACCCAGATGAGAGCCGGTGCTACAGGCGGAGGATTAACCAAGTGAGCCACAGCGCCGGCCCCTCAAAGCCCTCTTCTTTCTGCAAGCTCTCCGGGCCCCTGAGGGATGAGGTAGGCAGTGGTGTGGGCCGAGTACCCACCTTAGGCCTGGAACTGGCTGGGCACTTAGGAATGCGAAGGTCATCCCTGGGGTACTCAGCTTCTGCTAAGGAAAGACTGCGGACTGGTGGTCGCGTAGTGGAGTGGCTGCGTGGGTGGGGGCTTGCACAGCATCCTGTGCAGGAGGAGGTCACAGATGCCAGCGTCACCTGGTATCCAGAAGCAGCCCTGCTGCTCAGAGTTCCCCTTGTCCCCTGCGCCTGGGCAGGTCACAGGGGGATGGCCCCTGAAGCCATCCGTTTAATAGCACTGGGGTCTGCTGGTCACCCCAGGGAAAGTCTAGTTCTCTGTTCTTAGAGCTCATGACTGGGCCTTGGCTCCAGTGACCCCAGAAGCCCACAGTGGTCCCGCCGCTGTCCAAGGATGACAGCCTTTTCTAAGGTGACTTGCTCTCCTTCTCCTTGCTCCCAGCCACCCCTGTCACTGTGGACGTTCCCGGTGGCCACAGTACCAGCCAGGCCCCTCCCTTCCTCAGGAGCCTACTACCAGGGCCTGGGCCCCTCGCCAAGGCCCACCGAGAGGACGGGCCCTCGAGGAAGCCTTCCAACCGCTTCAGTTAGACGAGGCCTCAGTTATAAACTTGCATGGTCCCAGGAGCTTTCTTCATTGTAATTAACCCACTAGTTGTAGAATAACTTTGTTTTCCACGAGACTGTAAGAGGAGTCTGTCTTACCCCTGCCCTGTTCCTCAGTGGCTGACACAGAGAGCCTCTGCAAATAGTTGAATGAATGAACCTGGGGTAGGATGGGCGAGGTCGGAGCAGGCAGGGAAGCTAGGTGTGTGCCGTGTCCGTGTGCCTGAAGAGAGGCGGGCCTGTGTGGCACAGCAGCTGGGGCATCAGCAGGCTTGGGAGGAGCCAGAGCGAAAGGGGTCTTGGCCCCGAGCTGATGTGAGAACTTCAGCTGGAGGAGTTTAGGCAGGGAGACTTCTAGGTTAGGGCAGTGACCCAGGCAGGAGGGGCAGGAAGACCCGACCCATGGCAGTACCCACGGGGAGAGAGTCAGTGAGGGCCATGCATTGTGTCTTTCAGCCCTGCCACAGCATGGTCGGGCAGAGCCTGGCTCAGGTGACACAAAGAGAAATGTGGCTGCAGGGGAAAGGGGAAGGGAAGAGGGGTGGAACAGCTGAGGAGGAGGACGGGGACGGGTGAGGATGGAGCTGGGTGATGGTGGTGTCTTCCTGACTGGCAAGGGGCTGGATGCAGGGCATGGGTAGAGGGAGGGAGGGAGTGCAGACAGTTGCCTGTGTGGAATCTACTGGTGCAATTCTTAGGAAAGTTTGTTTTTATTTATTTTAAAGGCAGAATGACAGAGAGGAGAGATAGAGATCATCCATCCACTGGTCACTTCCCAAATGGCTGCAAGGCCATGGCAGGGCTAGCCTGAAGCTAGGAGCCTGGAACTCCATCTGGGGTCTCCCATGTGGAGGGCAGGGGCCCTAGCATGTGGGCCATCTGCTGGTGCTTTTCCAGGTGCATTAGCAGGGAGCTGGATTGAAAGCAGTACAGCCAGGCCTTGACCTTGCTCTGATGTGGGTTGCTGCCGACACACAAGTGGCGGTTTACCCTCCTGTGCCACTATGCTGGCCCCTCCTGGTGAACTTTTCCACTCAGACTTTGCAGCGAGTTGTCAGCATACCCATCTCCCCTCCTGGCCCCGTTGCTGAACAGACAGCTCCATGAAGAGCTGCATTTCGGCAGAGCCCTAAACATGTCGGGTCATCCCAGACTCTGAGTCCAGGGCTCCAAGTGCCTGGACCCCAGGTTGGAGAGGCAGCGAGTGTATGAGCGCCTAGTGTAAGTGATTCACCAGCTGGCCTGGCTGCACCTCTCTCAGAGCTGACTTCCTGTGAAGCAAGAGAAATAAGCTCAGAACTTAAACTTCAGGTCCCTGGGCCTTAGGAAATGACCCCTTCCAGTCTCTTCACCATCTGGAATCTGAAGCCAGAAACTGGCCTGAAGGCCTGCGTCAGCCTCACAGTGATCAGGTCCGGGCCCTGTGGTCGGGCCCTTAGCTGGTGGCGGCAGGCAGTACTGGCTGTGAACCCCTCTCTTCCATTTGGGGCCCAGGGGTCCGCTGAAGAGGATTGATGAGGAGGCTCTTGGGGAACTGTGGTTAGGAGGTGGCACAGGCAGAGTCTGCAGGGGGTGGGGAGTTCTCTGGTGGGGATCTCAGCTTGCAGGAGTGTGAAGTGGATCTTTAACCTGCGGGGCCAGTGCATGGGGGCCATCTTTGCTGGCCACTTGTTGGTGCACCTCACTGCTGTCTCCATCGACCCAGCAGATGCCAATGTGCGGGACAAGAGCTACTCGGGGCCCCTGCCCATCTTCAGCCGCAGCCAGCACGCACACGTCATTGAAGACCTGCACTGCAACTTGTGCGACGTGGATGTGTGAGTGCCTGTGTGCGGGTGTGAGCGCGTGGGTGTGTGTGGGCGATCAGTGTGCCCTGTGGACCACCAGGAGTTTAGGGCAGAAGGGAGCACGCCAGGTGTCACGTCATCCTCCTGCCTCAGAACTCCCGTGTTTTACACAGTCGAGCCTCTTGATGGAGTCCCAGAGAACTGGGTCCCCGAGAAGGCGGTTGGAAACAGAAGATGAAGATAGCATTTCCACAGTGAAAGTAGGAAGTGCTGGGCGTGGCCCCAAGCATTTGTAGTGACTAACTCTACCAGTGACATCCCTGGTCTCTCACAGGCATTCCCAGGTAGGGGTGGGGAGGGAAGGTAATGCTTGAGTACTGAACTGTGCTGAGCTGTGTTCATGCAGCAGGCCAAGTGGGCAGCCCAAGCTCAGAAAGGCCGAGAAGCCTGCCCAGGTCACACAGTGACTGGGCGGCAAAGCCGGAGTCACCGCCCTGGCTTCCAGGCCCCCAAGCACATTCTGGGACTCTCCATCACCCATGAGAATTTGGAGGCCCAGAGAGGCCGAGGGGCTTGCTGGAGGAGAGAGGGCTCAGGATGAGAAGAGCCTGGTTCTGCAGGGCTGGTCCCAGTGGCTGCTTGGGTCCCCCACTACCTGACTGGAGCCCCCCCCCCAGGCTCCTAGGCTCAGGTTGGGGGTTAGGGGTAGGAGTGTGCTCCAGTTTCATGCTTCTCAGGAGGAGTTGGCCTGTTGCAGGGCTCTATCCACAGGCAGAACACTGCCAGCATTGCGACACTAAGGACTTGGGTTTTAGGCCGTTCGGTCATGCGCTAGGCCCAAGTAGTACACTTCTGAGCAGTTCTGGGGGAGAGGGCTGTGCCCCAGTCTTCCAACTTCTGTGGGCCTTCCGTGGTGCCTCCCCAGGTCCGGAGGGCTACTCTTGCTCACGTCCATTAGGCCCCATTAGGCGCCTCTCCTCATCCGACACACTGCGGTGATGCCCACCAGGATGGCTGTGTGCTCATCTTTTGGCCCTGTTCTGTTAGCCCACGATAGACTGAGGCCTTTCGGGAGAATGCCAGCAAAATTCCTATAGGATGCAGGGAGACAGGGACCCAAAAATGGGGATGTCAGAAAGATCAGTGCAGGCCCTGCTCAGGGGCCTGCCGCCACCACCTAGCAAACATTCCAGAGAAGGACAGCACAAAAGGCGTCCCCTCAAACCCGATCTCCTAGCTCCAGGGTCCCCCAGCCCTTCGGAAGCCCTGCCTCCTCCAGGGGCCACAGTCTTCAGTGCCGCTAGAGGGCGCGCGCGCTCCTTGCCGCGCTCCGCTGTCAGGTGGAGAAGCCTGGTGGGTAACTCGGCCCCCTACCTGGCGCTGCCGTCCCTGGCGTCGCAGCCTCTGGCGGGCCCTGGCCGCTGGGCCCGGCCGGCTCGTCCAGGGCTGAATGCGCGACCGACGGCTCTGCGCCTCCCCTACGCAGGAGCGCTCGCTCCAAGCACTGTAGCGCCTGCAACAAGTGCGTGTGCGGCTTCGACCACCACTGCAAGTGGCTCAACAACTGCGTGGGTGAGAGGAACTACCGGTGAGAGCGTGAGAGCGACGGGCGCCTGGGGCGGGGACCTTGCCTGCAGCGTGGCGGCGGCTGGGGTGGTCGTGCTTGGAGGACCTGTGCGCTGCTCCTTAAGGGTGCCCACTGAGGCCACGGAGGGTGGGTCTGGGGGCTTCCACCTCGCTGGCCCCAAGGGGCAAGGAGCCCGGGCGGTGGCCATGTGTCTTCAGTTTTGCCCTGTGCCTTTGGCTTCGGAGGAGTCGGGGCTGTGGGCTCAGAGGCCCTGCTTAGCATCCCAGCTTTGGGCCCTTTTGAGCTCCTAGCCTTTACCAAGCCGGAGGGCCCCGGTGCTGATAGCTGCCCATGGCTGGGCCCAGGCTCTTTCTACACAGTGTGGTATCCGCTTTACTGGGTGTTCTGCTCCTGGTGCTGGTGGCCACTTATGTCTTTGTGGAGTTCTTTGTCAACCCCATGCAGCTGCGCACCCACCCGCACTTTGAAGGTCAGTTTGGGCTCCAGGCCGACTCCCGCCCCCCCCCCCCCCCCCCCGTGGGCCTGCTCTGGTCCCTGCTCAAGCCCTGGTCCCTGCCTGTGCTTGCAGTCGTGAAGAACCAAAGTGATGTGTGGTTTGTGTTCCTGCCTGCGGCCCCGGTGGAGACCAAGGCTCCTGCCATCCTGGTCCTGGCTGCCCTGCTCATCCTTCTGGGCCTGCTCTCCACAGCCTTGCTTGGCCACCTGCTCTGCTTCCACATCTATCTCAGTGAGTGTCTCCCCGACACCGCCCTTCAGGAACAGGGGCCCCACTGGGCCGCAGAGCCTTGAGACCAGCCCCTTCCCGGTGCTGGTTCTCGGGTGGCCTGGTCTCACCGTGGCTCAGTGTCTGTGGGGACAGTGGTTTGAGCTGCGAGGTAGGTGGCCTGCCCTGAGCTCTGCAGTCCCTTCTCTGTTGCACTGAGCCCTCTCCTCCCCCTACCAGTGTGGCACAAGCTCACCACCTATGAGTACATCGTGCAGCACCGCCCACAAGAGGCAAAGGGGGCCCACAGGGAGCTTGAGTCGTGTCCCCCCAAGATGCGGCCTATTCAGGTATAGAGGTGGCCCTGAGGGCTAAGGGGGTGGGAGATGGGCCTGGAGGTGGTGGTGGCGCGGTGGGCGGCCAGCGAAGAGACAGGGCAAGGGAAGCAACCTGGGACAGCAGCTGGAATGGGGTGCTGGGGGCACGGGTGGGGGTGTTAGCCTATCCTGAGCACTTGCTCACCTGCCTAACAAGCTTCCCAGAGACAGCTTCAGGACCCCACGGACCCACCCACCCAGACTCCAGGCAGCTGCTGGAGGGCGCGGGTCGTGGGGGCCTGGAAGCATGCAGGCCAGGGCTACTTGAGACTGGAGAGGGATGGACCAGGGCCGGGTTAGCAGCTTGGGGGGCCAGGAGGGGGCTGTCAGTGTCCTCTGTGCCTCTACTCATACCCCATTTTATCCTCAGAACAGCCCACGAGGCAGGGAGTGTTTGCTGCACCCGCGTTGCAGATGAGCATGTTGAGGCCTAGAAAGATTAAACAGAAACCAGATCTGGAAAGAGTTAAGGTCTCGGCTGGCGCCGCGGCTCACTAGGTTAATCCTCCGCCTGTGGCGCCGGCACCCCGGGTTCGGGTTCTAGTCCTGGTTGGGGTGCCGGATTCTGTCTCGGTCGTTTCTCTTCCTGTCCAGCTCTCTGCTGTGGCCCAGAAGGGCACTGGAGGATGGCCCAAGTGCTTGGGCCCTGCACCCCATGGGAGACCAGGAGGAAGCACCTGGCTCCTGGCTTCGGATCAGTGGGGTGCTCTGGCCGCAGCGGCCATTGGGGGGGTGAACCAACGGAAAAGGAAGACCTTTCTCTCTGTCTCTCTCTCACTGTCCACTCTGTCAAAAAAAAAAAAAAAAAAAAAGCGTTAAGGTCTCCCCACCCTGAAGCAGGACCCCACCAGCTCAGGCTTCAGCCTGGCCAGCCCAGCTGCTAACCAGCCTGTCCTGTTCCCACGCCCCATGATTTCCTCAGGTCAGCAGCTGGGGGTGGGGTGGTGCAGGGCTCAGAGCCCCTAGGGACTAGGAAGGCAGGGGGGCCCAGGCTAAGCCCTGGATCTTCATGGCAACAACACAAATACAGGCTGGTGGGCGGGTTGGGGGAGGGCTTGGGACCCTGCCTGTCCTGTTCTCATTGCCAGAGCAGGACCTGCCTGAGGTCCTGGGCAGGCCTGGGCCTGGGGGGTGCTGGCCGTGGCAAAGGCCACTTGCCCTGGTGCTGGGCATGGTTTGTGTCAACACAGTGGTGGCCTTCCCAGGGAGGGAGTCAGCCCACCCCCACCCAACTGGACGCTGAGGCTCGGCGAGGTTGGCAGGGCCTGTATGAGCGTCACGGCCCGTGCCTGTTGAGGCAGGGCTGGCCCTGGGGTGCCCAGACTCCAGGCTCTGTGTCCCTGTCCTGCCCAGGCTGTGGGGCCAGATGTGGCGGCCACAAGGACGTTTGACTTCTGTCCATCTACAGGGAGGCCTGCCCAGGGCTCCTTTTACAGAGGAGAGAGCTGAGGCCGAGAGTTACCATTCAGGAGTGCATGTTTTTGAAGGTCTCTGAGGGAGGATCCTAGGGACAGCAGTAATGAGAGCAGGGGTGTCTGCATGGGGCCCCAGCTGGCTAGGGCCTGGTTCTTCCATCCCGGCCCTCGGGCTCCGGGGGCCATCTTCTTCTGCTGCTCCCTTCTCTGTCCCACACTTTGGGGCCCAGGGACCCTGGGGTAGACTTTGACCCTTTACCTTGAGGTCCAAGTCACAGTGCCTGGCCTTTGACCTCTGACCCTGGGCTCCTCTGTTCCGGCCAGCACCCCCACACCCTTCCACAAGGGTCATCCTGGGTCTCTGCACCTGTGCAGCCAGCCTGTGATGACGAGGCTGTGCTTCCCAGGTCTGCCAGGGCCCCAGCAGGCAGCTTCCCCGCCCCCACCCCGAGCAGGAATGCGGGAGGGGCCCCTGTCTGGAGCCGTTGCCCCCAAACACAGGCTTGTTTTAGAGACGGCGTGGCTGTTACAGTGTCGTCTCCGCATTAGTCAGGACGCCTCCGTCTCCGTGGAAACGGCTGCCGAGCCAGCGACAGCTGTCCTGGGGCTCCCTCCCTCCTCCCCACTGCTGCCAAGGGCGGGGCCTTACTGCCCAGGCCCCGCCCACATCCTCCACACCACGCCCTTCCCGGGCTGGCTCTGTTCTGCCTTTTGTTTCCTCACCTGCAGCCCTAGCGGGCGTGGCTGGGGTTCGGGCCTAGGCCGCTTCAGCGACCTCCCAGGTCCCTTCACTCTCTGGGGTTGCGACTCAACAAGATACAGCTTGCCTGTTGGCCTGGGCCCGGCTTTTGCTTCCACCTCCTACTGCCTTCGCGCTCCGGCTGGCGGCTGGGAGGCCACGCACTCATACGCCCTTCCCCGCAGCGGGGACTGTGGCTGGTGTTCTGTGAGCATGAGGGGCACGCCCGGGACTCAGCTCTGCGGGAGCCTGCCAGCCGCGCCACAACCTCGGGTACACTCTCCGCCTGGGAATGGCCACCCGGTCTCCCAACCAGGGAACAATCCGACACAGAGGCTGGAGCCCCGGAGGGGCTGGAAGCAGGAGAGGACAGCTCTGAGCGCCTCTTCCCCCGCCCTGGGCTGAGCAGCTGTGCTGGGCGATGAGACTCCTGGAGCTACAGCCTTCCTGGAAGAGAGGGTGCTAGACTAGAAGGGAGGATCTGGGCATGAGTAAGGTGCAGAAGCGGATGTTCTAAGACTTAACTCCGCAGAGGGAACCAGGGAACCAGGAGGACAGCCCCAGACCCCTGGGTGAGGCCTGCCACCTCCCACAGGGGCCAATGAAGGGCTGTCCTGTTCAGGACTGGGTGGGCTCAGGAGGTCCTGGATCCTCAGCTGGCTTCCTGGTCGCCCTGACCCCCGCCTTCCGCAGGAGATGGAGTTCTATATGCGGACCTTCAGCCATGTGCACCCAGAGCCCCCCAGCCAGGCCAGGCCAGTGGCAGTGAATGCCAAGTGAGTGTGACCCGGGTATCTTCCACTAGCACGCCAGGGCCATCCCAGGTGGGAGAAAGAGTGTGGGTCAAGGCTCAGGCGTGGGTCTGGGCCAGCCCCTCTGTCTTCTGCTAGATAGGGAGGCTTGTATCAGGACCCCAGCGGAGAGGGTTTTGGGGGCAGCACCCAATGCTTACACTCCTGCTTTCCTCTCAGTCCCTCCTGGTTTCTTGTCACCAGGAGCCAAGGGGAGCCTCCACCGCCCTCCTCCCCAGACACGCTGGTCCTGCCTCCCGGGATCCGCCCCCAGGTAGGGGAGACCGTGCTGGGCCCCCTGTCCGGGTGGAGGGGGTTTGGAAATGGAGCGTCTACTTCCTGCTGGCCTCCCTTGCTTTTGAAGACTAAGCCGCCCTTAGTCTTCCCTTTGTTTGTGCAGAAAAAGAGGAAGCGGCGCATGTATAAGGTACCTATGTCTGAGGCCTTGCACCCGGAGCCCTCGCTGCCCAGGCTGCAGGGTGAGCGCCCTCCCCATCCGGGTCCTCCCCAGGGAAAGAAAGGCAGAAGTCCCAGCGCACCCCAGCCCCCGGTCTCACATTTCCCTCAACTGCGCAGGGTCCCCGGACCCTGGCCACCACTGCAGGTCATTGAGTGATTCCTCCAGCGCCAGCCCCTCGGCGTTGGCCGAGTCCGTGGACGCGACTCCAGTGGCGCAAACGCGCCTGGGCAGCGCCGCTCTGGCCGCCCCAGGGAGCAGGGGACAAGAGCCGGGGCCGGCGCTGCTGAGGCGCGCGCCTGCCGTTTTCGTGAGCCCGAGCAGCGGCGAGCTTGGGGCGCAGGGCGCCCGGGAGGCCGGCCTGCGGTAGCTGGGCGGAGAAGCCGGAGGGCCGAGAAGGAGCTGCCAGCCCGACTCACTATGCAACACACCGTGCTCGCCGCTGCACCGAATGCACTTTAGGGGCCACTCCGGCCGGCGGGCGCGGCCTCCCTCCCCCACGACTCAGCAATACCCGCCCCACCGGCTGTGATGCTCCAATAAACGTGTTTTTTATGCTTTTGCCAACTTAGTACTTATTTTAATAAGGTCGGTGGGTTCTGCGGGACCCAGACCGTTGCCAGTCGGCCAGGGGGCACAGGGGAAGGTGGGTACCTGGTCGTAGTGGTATATGGTGGTGCGCGTGGACCCGAGGCGCTCGGGTGCGGGACTCATGGTTAGAAGAGAACCTGAAAGGCCGGCTGGCAGTTGCTTTTCTTTGTACGGATCCTGGTGTGTGTGGGGGGGGGGGGGACGGAAGAGGGTTGGTTTTAGGCTCCGGAGGCAGCGGTGGGAAGCAGAGGCTGCGAGGCCAAGGCCAAGGCGAGGTGGGAATGAAAGGAGGGGACGACCCTGCAGAACCGGGAGCTTTATCCTGGCGGCGGCATTCGCCGCGGGAGCACAGAATTCTAGGGCTCTGGGCAAGCGTGGTTCGCTCTTTGAACTCTCCCACCCCGGGGTCCCTTTCTCGGGAGAACGCGGGAGACGCGGCCACTGCAGACCCTGGTCATTGCAGGAACGGACCTTGTTCTTCCCCTCGCCCCCGCCTCTATCTCCCAGCGTCCCGGGTTTGGCGCCCTGAAAAGCTGGATCTCCGCAGGAGATTGAGGGCTCACTTGAACTTGGGGCAGAGCCCAGGACAGGAGACTGTCATCCCGTCGGGGAAGCTTCCGACGACGTCCAGACCCGCAGTTGACTGGGCTCGCACGCTGCAAAGAGAGAGGCTGCGGGGGAGGGGCGGGGTAAGGCAGTGTGTGCAGCTCTGCGGGCGCCCAGCCCTGAGCGCGCGGGCGGGGTCTGGTGGGCGGAGCCAGCGTGACCTTGGTCACTCTCCCGCCGAGACAGCCTCGGGGGTGGGACTCGTCGTCTCTATGGAGACCGAGAAACAGGGGATAATACGGCGGAGCCGCCCCGGCTGCAGTCCCGCCTGGGAGCCGGCAGGGAGCGAAGCTGCGGAGCCGCCTAGTCTCCCGCATCTGTGGGTCTATTCCTGTGTCCTTCTGTCCATCCGAACGCGCGCTGCAGGAGCAGCCACGAGGTAGAAGCCGGTAGGAGACTGGGACGCCGACCACTCTAATCCATATCCTGCACGATGCGGAAGGGGGTGGATGGGAGCGGCCTGGAAGGGGTCCCAAAACCCTGGATGGTACCAAGATGAGGACACCAGCTGAGCGGCCTCCCCCGGGCCCAAGCTTTCCGCTTCCCAGCCCCCACCTTCCTTGCCCCGCTGATTGATGACTCCAGCTGTCCCAGCGGGATTGGGCGGGTGGCCTCAGTTCACTGCAGGCCACTTCATGCCTGGCCTGCAGACCCCTGGGGCTGTGGCCTGTGACCAGGCTCCACCTGACCAGCTAGGAGATTACTAAGAATCCATCTTCCTGCACACAAGAGCACTGGATCCCCCCAGTCCCTTGGGACAAGCATCTGGTGGCACCCAAGCTCCCCTTGGTGAATCAAGTGCAGCCTTTGGGTCCCTGGTGGAGAGTGCATCTAGGGGGAGGGAAGAGGGGCACAGTACAGCCTCAGGTTTGGTTCCCAGAGTCTCTGGAATGCAGCAACTATGGGTGCTCACAATCCCAGAGTGTGGTCATTGGGCAGGGGTGTCCAGGATCAAGATCAGTGGTGGTGGGAGAGGGGCAGCTGGGCAGGTGCCCAGGCTGTGGTCACTGAGGCTCTGGTAGAAGAGGTGGGGCTGGAAGATGGTTGCTGAGACTGGGGTGTGGTTTGGGGGCTGCAGGGCAGGAGGGGAGCAGGGTCCAGTGGGAGTGGGGTGATGTCAATGTGGTGCCTGGAAATCTGGGGTTCCAATGTATGGGTATGGACACTCAGGGGCTTCAGTGCAGGGCAAGAGGGTGAGGAGAGGTAGTGGGAGCGTGGACAAAGGAGGGCTGTGGGTGTGGTCAGGAGCCTTGATAAAGGCTGTGATGTCTGGGGCTGTGGCAGGGGGCTCAGAACAGCTGAGTCCCGAGGCTGCAGGGGTGGGGATGGAGGGGACCGCAGTGCAGGGCAGAGGGTGTGGTCGGGGCGGCCTCGGAACAGGGCTGTGTTCTGTGGAGTGTTTCAGTGCAGGGTGCAGGGCGTGGTCAGAGGACTGCAGTGGAGGCTGTGAGTGTGGGGGACGCTTTTGTGCAGGGCTGAGCGTAGGGGGTGAGGGGGATGGTTGGGACATGAACCCCAGGGTGTCTGGTGTGTGGATGGAGGAGGTTGTGGTGCAGGCTGAGGGTAGGGGGTGAGGGGATGGTTGGGACGTGAACCTCAGGGTGTCTGGTGTGTGGATGGAGGAGGTTGTGGTGCAGGCTGAGGGTAGGGGGTGAGGGGATGGTTGGGACATGAACCCCAGGGTGTCTGGTGTGTGGATGGAGGAGGTTGTGGTGCAGGCTGAGGGTAGGGTCCAGGGGCCTGAGGCTAAGGATGTGGAGAGCAGGAGTTGAATGTGGACCAGCCTGTGGCCATCCTCAGGGTGGGCGAGGGGCCTCTGTGAAGGGCTGAGGCACAGACAAAAGCAAGTGTGCCCCAGTGGAGGACCACAGGGCCAAGGCCACAGTCCCCCTTGCCTTGCTTCTGGGGCTGCTGACTTGGCAACCCCATGTAGGCAGCCCCCAGTCCCCTACTCCTAAACTCCACAGACTGGGAGGTTACAGCCCCTGTGCATGGCAAAGGGCCAGGAAGCCATGGTTGTGCCCCAAGCACAGGGAGTGCTGATGTGCCCCACCCGTGGGCCCCTGTTTCCCAGCTCGGCCTGGCCCAGCCCAGCCCAGCAGCACTGGGAGCTTCTCCCCAGCCTCCCTGACACAGGCCTGCCCTTAGCAACACTCTCCAAGCAGCACCACCCTCCCATAGCAACTGTCTCCAGGCTTCACAAACTGTGGCCAGGCCAGCCCCAAGCTCCTGCTCCCCTCATGTTTTTGTTTAATAGCAAATAGTAACAAGGTCTCGGCTGGGCCAGCTGCGCCCTGGCCTGGGGCAAGCACCACTGCTCTCTTCTCAGGCCTGGGTTGGGTCTTGTTGGGTCCTCATGACCCTTACAGAGACCCTGTCCTCATGGAATGCCTGCCCCACCAGCAGCCTGGTCCAGCCCTGACCCAGCTGGGTGTGCAGCTTCCAGGGGGAAGGGGGTGAGGGCGCCCTGCCCAGCCACCCTCGTTTCCATCCAAGCAGGCCTTGTGCCAGGGCCAGACAAAGCCATGCCCCCAGCTGCTGCCCTCACAGCTTTTCTGGACAGTGCCACTCTGTTTCAGCCTGGTGTGGGCATCATGGTTTCATCTTCTGAGCCCTCCTCAGAGCCAGGGCTGACATGAAGCGACAGGACCTTCCCTCCCAGGGCTCTTCCGGGGCCCAGGCAGACTCTGAGGCTCTGGAGCACAAGCGCCACCAACTGGGATGGGGCGGGTCCTAAGGTGGAGGTGGGGGCACTGGCTTGGCTGGGAGGTGACTGAGGTGGTCCCTATAGGGTGGCATGGCTGCGAGCACAGATGTAGCAGGGCTGGAGGAGAGCTTCCGCAAGTTTGCCATCCATGGCGACCCCAAGGCCAGCGGGCAAGAGATGAATGGCAAGAACTGGGCCAAGCTGTGCAAGGACTGCAAGGTGGCTGACGGGAAGGCCGTGACAGGAACTGACGTGGACATTGTCTTCTCCAAAGTCAAGTGAGCCCCCAGCAGCCCCTGCTCCTCAGATACCCAGAAGTGGGGAGTTGGGAGGCTGGCCCTGGGGGGACATGCGAAGGGGAAACACTCATGGCGCCCACGTGCCTGGCAGGGGGAAGTCTGCTCGGGTCATCAACTATGAGGAGTTCAAGAAGGCCCTGGAAGAGCTGGCAACCAAGCGATTCAAGGGCAAGAGCAAAGAGGAGGCCTTCGACGCCATCTGCCAGCTGGTGGCGGGCAAGGAGCCAGCCAACTTGGGTGTTACCGTAAGTGCCTGCTGGTCCTGAGCGGCCACTGGTGGGATGGGGGGCATCTCAGCTGGGGACGTGCGGGGCCTGCCTCCCTCACCAAGCACCTCTGGGGGAACTCTGTCCAAACAGAAAGCAAAGACAGGGGGTGCTGTGGACCGGCTGACTGACACCAGCAGGTACACCGGCTCCCACAAGGAGCGCTTCGACGAGAGCGGCAAGGGCAAAGGCATTGCTGGCCGGCAGGACATCCTGGATGACAGTGGCTATGTGAGCGCCTACAAGCACGCAGGCACCTATGATGCCAAAGTGAAGAAGTAAGGCCCAGGAAGGCCCTGCAGTGCGGCTGCCTCCGCCAGGGGCCTGGGCCTGAGGGACGTGGGGAACAAGACAGCCCCGATCCCCGCTGGACCTGCCCCCAGAGCCGCCTGCCCAGCCCCAGGTGCCGGCCCCCAGGCCTCTGACCCAGACTGCTCTGCATCCCCCTCCCCCGACTTCTGTCCGTCTGGAGACAGTCAATGCCTGTAGCCTCACTGCCTGCCTCCAGGGCCCTGGGCCTGGCTGACCTTCCTGCCCGCTTGCCTCATATTTAAGCTGCTGCTCTGGCCAAGTGCCTAATTCTTACCCAGACCTCAATAAAGCAACCTTTTGTACCAGTGTGGCCTGAGTGGGTATATGATGACCGGGGTCATGATGCTCGCACCCCACTGACCCCAGTGTCATCACCAACCTGCCTGCCACACCCTGCTCATTGCCCCCTGCCACTAACAGCCTTGCCCTCCTGCCAGCTGGGAGCCAGGCTGCCCAAGACGCTCCTGCAGGAAGTACAAAGCCGCTGAGCTTGGCCCTGAGCCAGTCCTGACATCACAGCCTGCCTTCCTGCAGTTACACCTCCGTCTGGGGACCCAGCAGCAGGAGCCATGAGACAGGCCTGGCCAAGCTTAGGCACAGCCCTAAGGGGGCTCCATAGCAAGTCATCCTGGACGCCAGCTGAGAATATCAGAGTCGGATTCCCTCATTTCACAGCTGAGGAAACGGAGCTGAGTGCGGAGGGGCTCGTGGACTAGTGCCCGAACATGCCTCTGGCCTCCCAGGCTGGCTCCCCAGCAGGCAAGCCCCACCCTGATTTCTAAACATGGGGCTGGGTGGTCAGAGACGAAGCCTGGCCCCCGACACCAGCCTGTGGTTGGTGGCGTTGGGGTAGAAAGAGTGACGGGACGCGGAGTGTAGGAGGCGCCAATTCCCTCGCATCTGTTCAACAGCCGAGCTGGGGGGGGGCGGGCGTTCTGGTCCCGGGGAATGCTGGGTATTTCCAGCCATCATCATTTCCCCAAGGCCCTGCATGTTAGACCAGAGCTAGTCCCGAACCCCGGGCTCTGAGGCCACCACTCCTTCCTTCCTGGTGTGACAAGGGAGCTGGGTGGGACTTGGGGCTAGGCAAGAGGGCAGCTCCCAAGGGTGTGAGAAAGGCTTCAGAGGCCCATGTCCACAAACCCACACCCTCTTTTCTGAGCCACGGGACAGAGCAGGCCAGCGCCTCGGTCTTCTCCCCGCCCGACAGGCTGCTCTGGGACGTTCCTGCCCTAGGTGGCCTGAATTCCTCGATAGGCGACCTAAACCGTCTGTGTTGTCTTTTCCCACCGAGTGTTAAAACACCCAATTGTGGTGAAAGGAAACGGGGCACTCACATGCCGTGGAGGCCAGGCAGGGCTGGCACCCGCAGAGCTGTGTTCTCCTGGGTCCTCCCCAGCTTCCCACCACCCTCAAGTCATTCTTCTTACAGAGAAAGCTTCTCAGACACAATTCCTCGTTCCTCTGCCTTCCCAAAGTAAAACCAAGGGGCCCTGCAACGCAGCACCTGTTTCCTCCTCTCGGCCCTTCCTTCCCATTTCATGGCCTGCCTCTCCCCTCCCCGTGGGGCTGTCCTGGGCCTGTACTCTGCGTTGTAATCACCTCTCGACTCCAAGGTCTCAGGTAAAGATCACCCACTCTGGGGCCTGGGGGCAGCTCTTGGCATCACAGCTCCTGGGCTGCGTCTGCTTCCTTGTCAGATACTCTCATGGCAGCACGTCCCGCCTCCACCCCATTACCCCTTTGGGGGCTCCAGAGACTGCTCTGCACCCCACTACCTGCTCCCATTCTTCCTGTTTTGCGAGCTTCCACTCAAACTACAAGTCTCCCCAGAAGCCTTCTCCAGTCCCACTCACCCTGCCTCTCTCTGTGCTCCCAATCCAGCCTCTGAGCTCTGTCATACTGCCTTTTGCTTTCCCCTTTGACTAAATTATTGGCTCCCCCAGGGCAGACCCTGGTGTCGCCTCATCACTGAGGCTGGCGGAGAGTCAGTCTCATCACCCAGTAAGCACAGTTCTCCAGGATTTCTTCACATGAAGGACACCGTGGACGTGCCTCTTGAGCCTCCTGCCACGCAGTTTCCAATGGCACTGGGGGAACTGTCTAGTCTTGTTGCTTTTTTGACATTTCCAGCCAAATGTCTCTCTAGGATACTGTTCCTGAGACTGTGTGTCAACTATTTCTGTGGGCAGCAGGAAAAACAACTCAACGGGAGGAGAGAAAGAGAAATAAAAAGAAGGAGCAATCCAGTGTAATCAGAATAAGCGTTCTCTTATCTTTGTGGGTGGATGCACCCTCCTGGTGGCAATGGTGCTGAGAGCCGTCCGGGGACGAGACGGAGGCTGCAGTAGGTGTCTGGTGCTAGCTCCATACGCCGGGCTCGGGGACAGCATCGGAGACACTCTGTATTAGATACTGACCCGTGTCGTGTGCCACTGGTGAGGAGGAAGACAACGTGCTCTTGCCGAAGGGTGACGCTCTCCCCAGGTGATGGCTCCTCTCGGGAGGCAGGAGCGCTTTCCCGGAATAGCCCTTCTGCTCCTTATTCAGCTGCTGCAGCAGGTACTCATTAGTTACCACCAGGGACCTGAGGCCACGGGGAAAGGCAGTCATGAAATCACCAAAGCGGACGCGATGCCGTTCGGATCTGCAATGCTTGCTGAACATGAATGTAAAATGAAGTAATGTCTCTAAATAGAAATAACTGTCCACTTTACGAGTGGGTTATTTTAAAGGCTGATCTACATTTTATTCATTACAATTCTGATCATGTTCCAGATAGCTGAAGCAATACTGAATTTCACTTTTTTTTTTTTTTTTTTTTTTTTGACAGGCAGAGTTAGACAATGAGAGAGAGACAGACAGAGAGAAAGGTCTTCCTTTTCCGTTGGTTCACCCCCCAATGGCTGCTACGGCTGGCGCGCTGTGCCGATCCGAAGCCAGGAGCCAGGTGCTTCCTCCTGGTCTCCCATGAGGATGCAGGACCCAAGGACTTGGGCCATCCTCCACTGCCTTCCTGGGCAACAGCAGAGAGCTGGACTGGAAGAGGAGCAACCGGGACAGAACCTGACCCCAACTGGGACTAGAACCCGGGGCGCCAGCGCCGCAGGCGGAGGATTAGCCTAGTGAGCCGCAGTGCTGGCCTGAATCTCACATTTTATATAGTGGATGTTCTAATTTCTCCAAAGCACTTTCACGATGAGGTAAGCAGAAGCACTAAGACACTGGCACTGGATCAGGCCTCTAATTTCTACTCGCAAGTTGTAACTTCTGTCTTCTAATCTAGGCAACTCTGCAATCCCCTGCCAGTACTAGTCAGGACTGTGCTCCCGGACTCTGCATCACAGGCCACGGGCAAAGAAAATCATCTCAGCACGATGCTATTCACTACAGCACTATTTTTACATTTTCAAGTTCATTTCATAGGTAGAGTCAGAGAAAGAGACAGAGACCTTCCATCCACTGGTTCATTCCCCAAATGCCCTTAATCAGCAGGAGCTAGGACAGGCCAAAGCCAGGAGTCACAAATTCAATCCAGGCGTCAACATGTGTGGTAAGGACCCAAGTACTTGAGCCATCACATGCTGTCTCCCAGGGTGTGTGTTAGCAGGAAGCTGGAATCAGGCAGAGCTGGGACCAGCTCAGACACTCTGATATGGGATTCAGCCATCCCAAGCAACGACTAACTACTGTGCCAGACGCTTGCCCTGTTACAGCACTGTTTCTTTCTTTTTTTTTTTTTTTTTTTTTTCGACAGGCAGAGTGGACAGTGAGAAAGAGAGACAGAGAGAAAGGTCTTCCTTTTGCCGTTGGTTCACCCTCCAATGGCCACCGCGGCCGGTGCACTGCGGCCGGCGCACCGCACTGATCCGAAGGCAGGAGCCAGGTGCTTCTCCTGGTCTCCCATGGGGTGTAGGGCCCAAGGACTTGGGCCATCCTCCACTGCCTTCCCGGGCCACAGCAGAGAGCTGGCCTGGAAGAGGGGCAACTGGGACAGAATCCGGCGCCCCGACCGGGACTAGAACCCGGTGTGCCGGCGCCGCTAGGCAGAGGATTAGCCTAGTGAGCCGCGGCGCCGGCCAGCAGCACTGTTTCTAACAGGACCATGATGTGGTAATATCCTCTCTGTAATGTCTGAAATAATTATAAAGAAAAATTTTTAAAAATGACACCTGGATGGGGGTTTGGCATAGTGGTTAGGACTTGGAATACCCACATCCTTATTGGAGGGCCTGAGTTTGAGTTGTGGCTCCATTCCCAATTCCAGCTTCCTTCTAATGCCACCCTGGGAGGTACCAGGTGCTTGGTACAGAACCACCCTAGGAGGTTTAAGTACTTGGGTCCCTGCCACCCATGTGTGAGACCTGGACTGAGTTCCTGATCCTGGCCACATGGCGCAGCCCCAGCTGTTGCAAGCATTTGGGATCAAAGCAGTGGATGGGATATCTCCATCTGTCTGTCTGTCTGCCTTTCAAAAAAAAAAAAAAGTCACCTAGAATGAGTCTGGGTTTAATCCTCTGAATGTGAAGCGATTTCAATGAAAACCAAGAAGTGAAGTTGTGGAGTGAAGATTTGAAGATTTAGAAATGGGGTGCTTACTACTTAGATTTCATTGGGAGTCTTAGTGAAGTTGGCAGGACTTCTCTCGAACCTCAGTAGCCTCGCAGCCACCCTGGCATTGTTTCTCTTTGGAGAGACTGAAGCCATTGAGGGCCTCTGAAGACGACCAGACTTTGTATTCTTTCCCTATTCTCTGCTGAGTGCTCTGGATGTGTCTTTGGTGACCAACAGCAGGCAGGCATTTTTCAGAGGAGCCAGGTGGCTGATCTTAGGAACACACAGTGCCCAAAGAGGTAGCTGACCCAGACAAAGGTCCTGTGAGAGCCAGTGAGAAACTAGTTGCAACCCACCAATGCTGGCCAAGATACTTGGTCCTGTGCTTCCTGGTGCTTGGAATCCTGAGCCACTTGGCTCATATGCACTAGGTTTATACACAGACTGGACTTCACTTGCAAAGTGCACAGAAATCAACTTGCCAGGCAGAACAAAGGAGACCCATGGAAGAAAACATGCGCAGCCAGAGGCCAGCTAGGTAGACCCTCTCCTACCTCTGGCTTTCCTGGAGAAGGGCAACTGTGTCTTCTAGCTTCTTCAGCTGGGCAAGCTCCTGATTCAGGCAGGCCACCTGCATGGTCAGCTGCTGGTTTCTGCGCAGAAGATCATCTGCAATGGTACAGCAGCCAGGGGTGAGCAGGAAACCACGCTGCTGGTCTCTGAGCAGAGCTCGAGTATGCAGATGGACATCTT